ATGAATTGTCTTTTTATTATTCTTTAAGCTGTGCATGTACACTCGTGTGTGTGTGTGTGTGTGTGTGTGTGTGTGTATATACCACAATTTCTAAAAATGTTTTTAACTCTAGTCACAAATCCATAAAAATTTTTCCGTAATTGTCCTTTAATGAGATGTATTATTTTTATAATTTTGAAAAAGAGAAAAAGCCTTTCCTATCCATTCTTCTTCCTTCCCCGATTAGCTTCTTTAGTGAGTCGCCAAGGAGCCTGGTTCAAATGCTTTCTTTCCACATTAAATAGCTACAGAGTTTACTGGTAAATGTTTCATAGCTGATTCTTGGAGGGGAAATATTTGCCAATTTCCATGGCGTAAATACTCCCACCACGGCCAGCTTCAAGCTGCGAACATGACATCACTGAACAGAGCTGGGAAGAGGAGCAGTTGCCCCGTATATAATAATTCACCATTATATAGTAATCCTACCAAACAGGTGTGATATTAATGTAAATAACCTCAATAACATAGATAATAGTAAAATGGAGTAAAATAATTAAGAACCGATAAGCTTTGAGTATTATTGCCTTTGTTTTTAATGTACTTGTTTTCATTTCAAGTTCACGTACTTCCATTTTTAACGATGAGCATGTTCAACAACAGGCTCCCAAAATCCCAGCAAACTTAAAGTTCAGCTGTCACCAGCCAGTGCAAGCCGTTTCCATCACACTTGCTAGGTCAGAACAGTTCCCATTGCAAAGCAGATAGAATGCCGGGAGGCGGGCCCAGCCAGCCTTCCCCACATCACAGCCCAGGGAGGTGACAAATCCAGGGCCCCCCAGGAGCCAAGTAGCCCCACGCAGCTGCACTTGGCCGACATGGAGAGGATGAGGCCTTCTGCTCTCCCGACTGCCCCACTTCCAATACGTGAACCCCCAGGCTGATTGTGGCTGCATTGCCCCCAGCCCTAAGCTCTGCCTCCTTAACCCCTTTCGACTTTGAAAGCCATGACTCTAAAGCAGAAGCAAGAAAGCTCGGGGTTCTTTGCCATACCCATGGCAGCATGGTGAGCTGGGAGCCTTTGGTTCAGGCCCAAGGCTTGATCTCTCTGATGCCAGCTCTGCCCAGACAGCAAGGTGACCTGGAACAGGCCACGTGGTGCTGCCATAGCTCCCGGTTACCGTGAACAATGAGGGAGTTAGACTAGCTGATCTGTCTTAGCCAGGTTTCCTCCAGCTCTAAAACCCCACATTGGCTGTGATTGCTAAGAGCTTCAGAAAAGATGACCGATCATATCAAAACCCATTTAGAAAAACTCATCAGACCACAGAGTGACATGGCCTCCCAAGCCTGAACACCCTCCCAGCCTTGGGAATCCAGGGGGATCACATCTTATCTTGACAGTGAAAAGATCTGGGCTGTGATCTGTCAAGGACGTGTGACAGTGCAGCTGCCTGTGAAAATGGAAATGGTTTTGTCTGGTTTTCTGGTCAGAGCCAAGTTCCCTGAGTCTTCAGCTCTTAGCTGCAGGCACAGCCCTTACTCGGCCTCATCAGGCGCTTTGTAAACTCATCTCCCCAAGTGCTTCCTTGCCATTGGGAATCGCCCCATCTTTTGACAAAGAGCCAAATTGATGGAACATTGCTTTAACACTTTAGGGTTTAATAAGCACCAAAAAGTAGGTAAAGTCATGGTTCATAAGTGAAAGAGGGAGAGGAGCAGCTCAACATTGCCAATGAGAAATCGGTGGGTTTCAGGCGGTGCTCCCAAGGCATTTGTATGCCCGTGCACGTGTGTGTTGTCACCGACAATAAATGGTGCAGCTGTGTATCTTGGTGGGGCAAGGTTGCCGTGATTTATGGGTGTAGCTGCAAGTTCATAACCGCCAATCCAAGAGAGGAGGGTCGGGGGGTAGAAGGGGAGAAAGGCTGACAGAAGTGAGTGTGTGAGTTTCATGTGTAATGCTTTTAGTATGGTGCCTCGCTCTCTCACCTAGAAAGCACTTAGCAGATGCAAACCAAAAATAGATTGACGTCCATAGCTGACCAAGCGTGTGTGGGGGTGAAGGTGGGGGAAGCGTGTGTGCGTTATGGTTGTTTATATTTGTTTTATATCTGAGCTGCAGGAGGGTATTTATTTTACAGTAAAAAGCATTGATGCTCTCTGACCAGAGTGAGCAAAGACATGGAAACCACCCCCCCAGCTCCACCCCCCTTGACAAGAGTTTCTGTCTGACATGCTATGTGACTCAGAGCCAATTCCAGGTCGGCCATTGCACAGTCCATGCTACTCTAAGTGAGGCATGAACCAAGTGCTTTCAGAGCCACGAACACACAGTATGCCCTCCAGACACTGGAGCTAGCTAGGTAAGGGATATACAGGTAGAAGCACATTATGAGGCTTTATGTGATAAACGGTAACAGCTTCTCAGTTCTGAGTCCCTTCCTGTGACAGGCCCTCTGTGTCACTGAATCCTCGCCAGTCCTCTGAAGCCAACACCCGCATTGCCCTGCTCACCAGCAGGCCATCCTCTTAGACCCTGAACATTCGGACGCACAACATGACCAGAGGCCCCGTGGGCACTGGGTCTCTGCAGAGGGCCAGTGGGCAGAGCCACAGCCCGCCAGCCGGGCAGCGTCTCACCTGTACACAAGAGTGTGTTCTGATGCAGAGACGAGGTGCCCCTCGGGCAGGGGTGGGAACTGTCCTGGCGTAAGAGGAGGTGACACTCCTATAACACTCCACCATCATACTCCCCAGTTCCCCCCAGGGAGGTCACCGTGCTCAGGAAGTCCAAAGCTCTGGTTTCCTATCAGGCTTGTGTGGCTTTCTCATTTCTCCCAGTCTGGATGTGACTTACCGGTCAGGGGTCACTCTTATCATGAGGAGTGGTGCCTATTAGCATAGTTGACATATCATCTTAGCAGGTTGCCAGACTCATCCAGAGATCAAATTCTCCTGCAGAAAGGGAAAAAGATGTATGTTAACCCTTTACCTACAATTGTTAGTCCCGTTTTACAGCAAATACAGCTGAGGTGTAGAGAGGTTTATCGACTTGCCTCAATCACATGGTAAGTAACACAGCTGGGACTCGAACCCTGGCCTGCTTGACTCCAAGTGCCATGCTCTTAATGAAGATGCATGGTGTAGATTTTTTGTCCTACCCCACAGCAGACCTGTGTTTATTTGACGTTTTGAAACACGAACTTGAACTGCCTACAGTGAGAACAATGGGTCTTCCTGGAAGAAGCATCTGCTTAGCCTGTGGTTTTGCCTTCACCGCTTACCCCAACCCGAGAAGCTCAGCGCCACTCCAGTTAGTGGCTCTACTTAGAATACTAAAAGAAAGCACTCATTCCTTGCTTTTCTCTGAAAGCCCATATTTTGAGTAGAAATTTATGAGGAGGGGAAAAAAGCTGTTTTAAGAGCGGTAGAGCCAACTTTGCATCTGAAAATAAATGAGTACCCGGCTACCGAGTGCAAACAATTCTGTTTTGCATTGTCGTTCCTTTCTTCTTTTTACATCACCATCTTGTAGCACAAAACCGAAGGGCTCAAGGCAAAGCCGGCAGCTTTTACTACAGTTCAGTTCTGCGTATAAAATCCAGTTTATATATCTAGGTTGTAGTGCAGAAGCCATTCAAGAAATGTGCCATTCGTGTTCCAAGTATAAAAGCAGACATTTTAAGACACCGTAACAATATTGTAATATTGTTTCATTGGGTGTTTGATCGACCCTAAGCTTTTACCAGGCAATGGAACTATCTGTTGACTTCCAACAGTTCATAGTATAATGAAGACAAATGCTAAGGAATTTTGTAGGCAGACTGTGAAATGGGTTGTAAACGAGTCAAATACTATGTTTAAGAGCAATGGAATTCATCATGATGAACTGTATTAAAACAGTCAAAACACAATCGTTGGGGGGACAGGGTATGGAGAGGATTTGGGGGGCTTGGTTCTGTTCTGGTTTAAGCCCAGACGGTGGGCACAGGTGCCTGTTTCTTTACCTAAACGCTTTCATACACTCTACTCAGTAGGTTTTCTATCGCAGTTTCCAAAAATGCAACTGAAAAAGTCTGCCTGCCAATAATAGAAAAAGACATTTGCTCTTTTCATAAGCGATATCATTACATAGATGGTTTTGAATCTCATGGCACATGAATTTACATCATGTTAGATTGTACGGAGAGAAAATAGCAAAGTTTGAACATTACTAACCTAAGAGAAGTGTTGAAAGAATAACTTGGAAGGTTCCAGGGTGGCACTCTTAGGAAAAGTCACTTTTGCCTTTATAAGTAATGAAATCACATCAACAGATCTCTCGTGGCGACCTTCCTCCATGTCCTGCTCTTCCCCTTCTTGAATCTGCATGGGCAGATTTACTCGGTCATTCTGTAAATGTTTGCTGAAATGGACTTGGCCGTGTGTTAGCAACGCTTGTCGTAGGGACTTGGAGTCCTTTCCTTTCAGCTAGTGGCTAGGGAGACAAGACTTTCAGTCAGCCAAGAAAAATTGAAAAAGCCAAATAACAATGTGAGGATTCAGGATAGTAACAAAAAAGAATCAGTGGTTTCATGAGGCCATAATGTTAGGTGGCGATGAAGTGGTAGAGACAGTACTGCCGACCTGCCGCTGAAGGAAGCCCTCTCCACGTGAGAGTGGGTGGGGAGCTTTGAGAATGGGTGGGCTTTCTCTGGGTTAAAAGAAAGAGAGGAACTTCCAAGAAGAGGGCAAGTCTTGTAACTGACAGCACCAGTGGGCACAGATGGAGTCTGTGTGTACATTTTCCGCAAAGAGGGTTTGCCTAGGGAAGAGCTAGGCCTGACGTTGAGCAACCTTAAAACAGTGAGTAGAAGATGGTTTCATCGCGTAGGAAAAGGGAACCTGTTGTGAGTTTTGAGACCCGGACAGAACAAGCCCCCTTCCCAGGGAGGAATATCTGTCCAACTCAGGGTAACCATCGTAAGTCACCCTATCTGTAGATGGCCACAGTTACTTACCTGCCGTTGTCCCTTCAGATTCATGACAGACGCTGCCCGCCGAGAGCAGGAGTCCCTAAAGAAGAAGATTCAGCCGAAGCTCTCTCTGACCTTGTCCAGCTCCGTGTCTCGTGGGAATGTGTCCACTCCGCCACGCCACAGCAGTGGAAGCCTTACCCCACCCGTGACCCCGCCCATCACCCCATCCTCCTCGTTCCGAAGCAGCACTCCAACAGGTGAGTGGCGTGGCCCCACCTACCGCCTTGAGAGTGGGGGCCAGGGAAGGTGAGGGGGGAGGGAGGGACAGGCTGCGGACCAGGACAGGTGACAACTCAGATCCACCTCTTCTTTGACCTTCTACTAGTCTCTAGAGTTTGTTGATTCATTCATCTATTTATTATTGAAGAAATATTTATAAATTATTGTTTATGATACATGTGTGATAATGGCTTTGTAGATACTTTTTCAAGCCTTTACCATTTACTGTGTATGAAGTGATGTGATGTCTCGGGTTTCGCTTTTGGAGTAGACGAAGCAAGATGCCAGGTATTGATAGTTGTTGAAGCTAGGGGATGAATATACAAGGGTTCATTATAGCAGTCTCCCAAATTTTGCTTATTTATGTTTTTTTTTTCCGTAACAAAGACATGTGGAGTGGCTCCTGTGTGTCAGACACTGAGCTACAGTCAGGAGCCACAGGAGACCCCATCCCTCTCCTGGAAAAGCTTAGGCCTAGTGGAAGATATTGCCACACTCTTGTCTTCCCCTCCCAAATGTGGAAGCACCTGAAAAATAAAACAGGAGTCAGAGGTGAAGCTCAAAATCAACTTTATTAGTGAACAGAGCTAAACTGCAGAGTAGATCTTGGATCTGTAACCACTGGGCTTTTCAGCATACCTTCCCTGGATTTAACTTACTTCCCCAAGTGCCGTTATAAGCTTACCCTGGAGTGCGAGCAGACCTGAGTGCACCCTAAGCCCTCTGAGCATGCGTAGTCCCGCCTCCCCAATTCAGAGACCCAGTAAGGCATTGCTCCTCCATGGGCAGGAGTGAATAAAGATGGTAGTAAGAGGCTGGAAAGATCCCTCTTCTTTTTCCCATCTGAGAAGCAGGGAATGTATTTTCCTTCTCCCCAGAAGGAACATAGACAGGCATTAACCAAATAAATACACCCATAAATATGACATTATGTAGAAGAACTCAGTGATCTGAGAGCATCCAGAGAGAAGTTTTGCCCCATCAGGAAAGACTTCCCCTGAAAGATTAAATAGGAGTTAGACAGGAAAACAGGGAAAGGAGAGGCATCCAGCCAAGGGGACAGCATTGGGCAAAGTAACTCCCGTGGACTTTCTCGGTGTGTTTCAGAATACACTCACCCTTCCATATCCTCGGGATTGATCGTTTCAGCACCTTCTACAATGCTCAAGGCCCTTATATAAAATGGCACAGTATTTTCATATAACATAAGCACATCCTCCCATTCACTTTAAATCATCCCTCGATTACTTATAACGCCTGATACAATGTAAGGGCTGTGTACATAGATAGTTGTTATACTGCATTGTTTAGGGAATGACAACAAGAAAAAAAACAAGTCTGTACATGTTCGGTATAGACACGCCCATCAACTATTCTAGGCCTAACTACATACAGTGTCAATGTAACATTTTTTTTTCCGAATATTTTTGACCCATGGTTGGTTGAATCCATGGACGCAGAACCTGCAGACACAGTGGGCTGACTGTATTACTTTCAGAAAATAACGGATTCCCTCATAAGTTTGGGGAAATGATGCATTAAACAATGGTAAACTGGCTTTAATATACATTGTTATTCTCCAAGGGTAGGATTTAGTAAGCTTCCCAAACTTAGTTGACTCTGCTTATGGGACCTGTTCTTCTGGGGGCTTCTTGGGGGACTCATGGTTGAGAAACACCCTGTGTTCTGTCAGGATGGGGCATTTTGAAAACAGAATAGGCATGGGAGGCAGACGGACCAGTTCCTACCTGAACTCTCTTTGCAAACTACTGATAACACCCACTATCTAGGATTTTCTATGAGAGACATGATAGCCTATGTATGAGTACACCCAGCATTCACTAAATGTTTATCTCTGTGGTCTGGAGTTTCCAGCTGGAGTTGCTTCAGGAACAGAATCGGGGTCCTTCTTCTGTAGAGGATGAATTGGCTCCTTTGTGTTGGACATTTGTCCATTTTCTTAGATAGGCCACCATGTTTCCCTTATATTTTATTCTGTTAAGATTTACTTTCTAAGATCTTTGTGTAACATTTCCTGTGTGGACCTAAGGAATGCTATGAGAATGTAATTCTGCGATCCTATTTTCTGAGTATTTCTAGGAATATTTATTCATATGTAATATGAATTATGGGGGCAGTTTTATACCAGGGTGTGTTTTATACCTGACTTAATATTGACTGACTCGTGGCCAACACCAGATAACCGTGACTGCCCCAATTAGTAAGGGTGCCTTAGAAACCCATGAAAATCAAGACAGTTTAAAAGTGAGAGTTTATTATTTTTCATGTAAGAATGTTTGGAAGAAATCGAATCATTTCCTTTCCTTCAGACATAAAGAAATCTTTCTGACACCTTGTCTATTCTAGCAATTTCCCACTGAGAGAATTAATTTATGTTGTGGTAAAGATGTATCATTTTCAATCTGTCAAGATCATTGGTAAGTTATTTGCTGCGCGAAGAACATTCCATGTAAACATCAAAAATTAGCAGGGGAAATGGTTTCTTAAATCCCTCCCCTGGACAATTTTGATTGTGTCCATTTTTCAATGTTTGAAATGTTATTTTACCTGTAGTTAGAGAGATCAGCTTATTTTGCCTGACTAATGTGGTTTCAGTCACTCTCATTGCCAGGCTATAAATAATATCCCAGGTTTCTACCTCCTAAATTCACTCTTCCAAGTTCCATATTCAAGGTACATTCCTGGCCCAGAAGTAATAATCATCTTGTAGAAAATTTCATTTATAAAATACTCTTTAAACTTCACTGTCTTGATGAGACTGAATTAGAGCTCAGTTTCATCCTAGAATTTTAAGTATTTCTTCGGTAGTCTTGGAACCAAGCTCTATTTGGCAATTTCTAAACCCTGGGAGCATCTTCTCATCTCATCTTTTTCATTTCCTCTCCTTATTTGTTTGGTTTTCTTTTAGTGTGTAGAAAAAGAAAGTATTTACTTAAGGGAAGGTCAGAATAATTTAAATCAGCAAACTTTCTGTAAAGGACCAGATAGTAAATACTTCATGCTTTGCAGGCCATAGGGTCTCTGTTTTAGCTCCTCAGCTCTGCCGGTGTAGTGTGAAAGCCGCTATAGAACTACATAAACAAATGGGCATAGTGTGTTCCATTAAAACTAGAAGCTTTTGTAAAACTTTATTTACAAAATCAGTCCAGACTCGGCCCTCAGGCTGTGGTGTGCCCACTCCTGGTTTAAATCATAAAGATATGGAATTTAAAAATAAACATAATTAAATTCCCTGAAAATGAAGTGTTCAAATGATTCATACTCTACTCCTTTAGAAGTAATACTATCAAGAGTGTAGTTACGAAGGAGGAAAGGCAACTAACATTGGTTGAGTGTTTATTGTCTATGCTTACTATATCCTTTCTGTATGACGTTGTTTTTAATCCTATATACTTGATGTGTGACGTTGTTTATAGTCCTGACACCAGCCCCACTGAGACAGCATTAGTATTCCCATATACAGATTAAAGAAATAGAGGCTTAGAAAGGTTAACTCGCACAAGGCCTCGTGTTTATCTGTTCAAAAAAGGCAGTCTTACCACTGTACTCATACGTTGCCTCCACATTAATACCTTGTTAAAAACTCTTAGACCTGCAGGCGTCTGGCTGCCCCAGCTTCTAACTTGACAACTCCAGAAAGGATGATCTTGCAGTTGACCATGGTGGGAGTATTTACACCAGTGACATTGGCAAGTGCCACCTCTCAGAACTTCCCCGCGTTACCATTATACCCATCTTATCTTTTATCAGATCAATCTTAATTTGCAATTCTAGGGATCATGGTCCTGATTGTGTCTGTGAAGAAAACCTAAAGCAAAAATCAACCACCAGAGAAATAATGGCCATTTCAAACAGTGTTGGTGGTCACCATGTAATGACATGGAAAGGTTTCCACATTGTTGGGCTGCAAAACTATTGTGCGGTATGATCCCAATCTTGGTTTTTACTCCAAAAAAGTTTACGGTGGTTACCTTAATACGATAGGAAGATGGATATTTTTTTCTTTTTTTCCTGTTTTCTAAAATGAGCCTATATTACTTTTGTAACTAAAACAACTGCTTAGTATATATAACCAGAAGATACAGGCAGAATTACTCTCTCTCTCTCTCTCACACACACACACACACACACACACACACACACACACACGCACGCGCGCGCTAGAGAGAGAGAGAGAGAGAGACAGAGAGAGAGAGAGAGACTGGAGAGTTTAAGCAATTTCTTTGTTCAGATTAATTTCATTGGCTTTGGAAGGGAAGGAGTGAGGTCATCCTTTAGGAAAGGCCTTAGGTTAGCTTTTGCATCCATCCTTAGCTAGCAGGTTGTTTGGTTATTGTACCTATAGAAAGAAAGTTAACTCTTTCACGGCATTAATTGATTTCAAGTATTTTTTTCAAAATGTGTCAAAAATCCACAAAAAATAAAAAGTTGATATTTTGACTATTTTATGCACTTAATAACATTTTGAGCCACATTGTACATAAATGACATTACTTTTATTCTAAACTTTTGTTATATGGTAGTAAATGTACCATTATATTGAACTTTAGCAGAAAATACTCAAAACACACTAAGTAGTATCAATTAGATTTAAGTATAGATAAATTTGAATCTAATGGCATTGATGACATTAAAAAATGTTACACAACATGGCATACAAAAAATCTTTGTTGTTGATAGTGCAAGCCACAGGAAAACATACCTGAATGTCACAGCAAAAGAGTTAAGAAAATAATTTCTTTTTTTCTTGTCCCCTTGTTTGCCAACTGAATCTCTTAAAAGAGTGACTCTCAATCAGGCTGCAGATGGAAATCACACAGAGAGTATTTTAATCTTTGCCTGGGCTCCACCCCTGACACTCTGATTTGGTTGGTGGGTGAGGCTAGGGCATTGGGAGTTTTTAAAAGCTCTCTCAAGCTGGGTAATTCTCACCAATAGCCAGAGTTGAGAAACCACT